ACTGCGAAAACAGACCCTGCTGACCTCCTCTTTCAAACCCTTTTAAAGTTCTAAACACTATAAAATCTATCCTAGTGTTTCAATAAACTCAGTGACTGCTTGCAGTGCGTGAATCCTTGATCAGTCTTTTGGCTCTGCATAATCAACTTTCCACAGTACACTGAGACTCTGGCATTGCTTCTCAGTGGCCAGTGCCAGCAGCAACCTGAGTTTCAACCATTTTAAATTTCAGAAGGATTAAGAATTTAAATCTAAATTCAGTGACTTGTTTGTTCTAAAGAGACATTCTATGTTTCAAATTTATTTTTTTAACAAAAACACTCAACAAGTCTAGCAATTGTTCCTAAACCAGTTGATTTTCTGTTAATTTTGCTTTTCAGCTTTCACACTTTGTGTTCAAACTACTCCTCCTATTTTTTTAGCCATTTGCCCCAACAGGATCAAACAGGGCATTTTTGTGTAATGAACTCCGTTCTCCATGACCACAGCTTTCAATGTGGACAGCAAAAACGTTGCAAATTGGGCTTTATTTATTTATTGTATTTGTTATATAACACCCATCCCCATGTATCTGGCTGCCCTACAAAAGTTAAAGGCAAGAATAAATAAAATAAGGCTATACCCAATGGCCAGAGAGAAGCAGCTGTTCTGCCAAGAGAAGAGCCAAGAAAAAACAACTCTGAGAAAAAGAGCTGTTGAGAAAATCAAGATAAAATGATCAAAGATGCACCGTCCAGAAAGGTCAGCAGAGTTTATTATTCAGGCTTTTGCATGCCCTGTCTGCTTAATTGCTGTGTATAAGCATTTTACAGTCAGCCCTGGAGCCTAATGCAGGTGGAGATGGTGTGCAAACCTATCAATGGAACCAAAAACTGGTCTTCAGCTGTCCAAAAGTTACAGCTGTGAAAAAATAAACAATGATGACACTCAACTGTGACTGCTTGACAAAGATGAGGACACTTTACGTGCGTTTGTTAGAGTCACCATGATGAAATGTGAAAGTTACTGTATTTGCAGAGCCAAGCAAAAGGAAATAAAATTATTTGTAGTACTAAAAATAAAAGACAGTATCACAAATATTGCAGAAAAGTATTTTCGCCATCATATAAAAAAGACATAAAAAATCCAAAGAGTAAAAAAAAATATTACCACTCCATTTATCTCCAACCCTGTTGAGTCTCTTATAGATTAGTAAACCGTACTTGAAATATGTCTCTCCAAAAACCAGTGGGGAAGTGTACTTCATTCTCTTTGTTTAACATAGCAGAATCCAGAAAAGAGGTGAATTTTGAGCCCTGGCAGTACAGCTACATGATCTTAAATTCTTGCACAGTACAAATGCCAGCTAGATCCCCCCGAGCTTTTTAGTCTGTATGACTATATGAAGACACTGAACCCTACCTGGAAGAGAAAGGGACAGGATCAGCTCACACCTGAGCCAAGCTTTGTCATTTGAACCACTGGGCAGGCGATGCGATTGTCCTGCTCTTTTGCTGTTTCCTTTTGCTCATGTTCCCTGCTAACCTGGCATGCTCCACCAGAGATACCTGCCCCTATAGTAGCAGAATATATTTTAGGGCACACATGGGCTATGCATCCTTTCTGGCTGAAGCTGTGCCAGCTCAAATCCCTTCCACTGGTATTCATCCTTGGCTACTCACTGGTGCACCCCTTGCGGTGTTTACCACACTTTCTTTCCTGCCAGCAGAGCTTTTCTACTAGCACCTCATAAAATATGTCAGTCAAATTGAGTCAAATTCACAGGATTCAGTGGGAAACTTACATGTGTATCTAGTTCCTGAATAAATCCTGACAGTTCAAAGCAGTGTGCATCCAGGCTAATTTGCAGTAAATGAAAATGAGTAAGTAATGACACCATAAATAATACCTGTTGCTATAAGAACCTTATATTCTCTTCTTTTCTCCTTTTACCACCAAAATCCTAAACACAATTAAAATTCCTTCTATCATCTCTTAAAACTGCAATAAATAATCAGACGTATCTTTATCTTCCACCAAATCCCTTCATAAGGCCTTGAGCTCCTGGCAAATTTCCAGCTATAAAGATTTTGTGGCTGTTTCCCATTCCTGTATTCCTTTCATAGCTGCTTTCTCCCCATCTCCAGGCTCAGAGGAAAAGAAAGAGAGTGCATTCCTCACAAATGTGGCAGCAGAGTCAATTCCCCAACAAACTGATTTGCTTGGTACAACCTACCTTATTCTGCGTCTTCAGACAGAGAGCCCTTCAGGGCACAGTCTGTCTCTTTTCTGTGCTTAGGAGACAAAAGAGGCCCAACCCTCCCTGAGGACCTCTATGCTATCTGGATTCTCAGAGATGCTTTATCTCCCACCATTATCAGGCTATCCCAACAAGACATCATCAGGCTGGGCATCAGAGCTTTGCTGAGGCTCTTCAACATTTGTCATCAGATATTAAATCCATATACAAATAAAGGTACCTTTCTTCTTTTTCTTTTAAAAAACCTCCTTGTCCTTAGTCTCTGTGTGTGTCAGTGTAAGCACAACAAATCTATCCCTTACACTCTCTGAATCTGTGCACACAATTTACCACACCGCGGACCCTGTAGTTGCTTGCAGTCTAATATAAGCTGGCCCTATAGTCAGAAACCAAATCTTCAAATATACACAGTCAAATACCGATTTTTGAATCTGTAGAATTTGCAGATACCACAGTCAGAGTGGCAAGTACCTGGAACACAAATCCCTGTGAGCTTTTTGACTCCACTGTCCATGTGGAGTTACGAAATCACCACGCAGATACAAGAAGCGTTTTCTAAATTGCTCATCTCACTAGGAGCAAACCAAACATGCGCAGAGACTGAATTACCTCTTGTCCATGAAGAAAATATTGCTTTTGATTGCGGGGTTGAGGTTTTTGGCAGAGTACCAGGGAGCTCCCAGTGTGGCTGCCTGTATGACACAGAAGTGTATATGGCTGGAGGGCAAACATAAGATTCCCACTGTGCCAACATATCAACCTTTGTAAACACAAATATGGAATGAAAAATAAGAAGCAGCACGACCATATCGTGCCATAGGTATGTGTTGTATTTATTATTCTAGTGCAAATCGTCTACATAAGAGGGTCTTTGTGGGGGTTCTATTGCCTTTTCCCTCAAAAATTAGACATTTCTAAATCCACAACAGCTAAGGGGAATATTTTTCAAGTTGAAAAAGATCCTATGAGGAGAAATCTAGTTTAAGAATGTCCATCTTTTTCTTAGTGCCCTTTCAGTTTTCATTTTTCTCGTTAGGTGTATTTCAAATCACTGTACATTATCAAAGTGTATCCAAAGCATAACCTGGTAATGCAGTGTTTAAGGGAACCAGCTCTCTCAGACTCCAATCACCAACTCCCCAGAATAGAATTTCACGTAAAACATCTGTGACAAAAGACATTCTAATAATTTGAACTCTCTATTTTCACTATAATGTAATTATAATATAATAAGTTATAATAAGTTATAATGTAATTAGAACTTTAATTTGAACAGATGTGAGGAAAATGAGTATTTTTCTGAAGTTGTTTTTATTATTCCATTTGAAAATTTTTTAGAAGACATCATAATGGTGAGAAACACTGGGATAACTGCTTTAATCCAGTTTCAATCTATCAGTTAACCTGCATCTAAATTTTATATGAAATTTCTTTGCAATAGCCCTTGGAAGGAATTCATAGCTCTTACTGCAAGCTGTGTGAAATGTACTCTTTTTCTGTATTTCATCTGAATCAGAACTCTCATATTTTCCTGTGCTTAAAGACTCAGCTTTTTACTTTTCATTCACAATGAATCCACAGGCACCACCAGAATGACAGTTGTGCCAGGGGTAAGGCAGCTTCAAGATCAAAGTGCAGATTTATCAAGAAAACAATGAAGAATAGGAAAACAAAACCATTTTAACTATGCAAACATTCATTGTACATTCATACCAAGAAGATTTCACTCATTCCCATACTTGTGAACAAAAGGGAAAGGCAAGCATAAGAGGGAAGGGAGAATGACATTAATGAGATTGTAAAAATGCAGTTGAGAGATTTCTCCCTCAAGTTTCAAACGTGTGTAATATAATCAGTGATGGATTAACACACTCGAAGTGAAAGTTTGGGAATCTTTTCTGAAATTAGGAGAATGCCTAGTTTAAAAGTGGTGCTGAAGCTATTTGGGACAGTGTCTCCCAAAATTTTCAGAGTGTATCTATGGCAAAAGTATTTCAATATTAAGTTTTTCTAATAACATTATTGTTTCAGTCTTGTTAGAATTTACAGTGTTAAAATGCAGGCTTACCTACAGGGAGAAGTTAATGTTTTCCTGTCTGCAAGGGCAGGTTATTTGTGAACAAACTCAGGAACAGAAGGATATTATTAGTATAGCATGGTGGACAGGATGTCAGCTCCTCAGGTCTGAGTGCTCTCATTAAATCCAAGTAAAACTGTGTCTGCTTTCTCTGCCCCGTGGTAGAACTAACATTTTTGTCCAGAGAGTAAAAGACTTCAAAGATCTCAGCATGAGGAGAACAGTTTTAAGATTAATACATATAGCTTATTTGAATATTCAAGTTGAGGTTTAGAATCATGTTTTTGCTCACTCTGTGTCAGCATTTCACAGATATTTCACTCAGGAGCTATTTGATATGTTGATAATGGTAAAGAGGGGCAAGTAAACCTGCAGAGCCCTCCTTTGCTTCTTTGGAAATATTTGTATATCCTATGGCTGAGACCATCAAAGACCACAGCTCTTCCAAAGGGTCATCTTCCTTCAACTCTGACCACCTTTCTACTATCAGCTGCACCTTCTTGTCTTACCTGATACTTTTTGGTCGAAATTACAAAGGAAGAGGGAGTTTTGAAATAGGAAAGTTCCTAAACAAATTGTAGATGATTTTGCAGCCGAAGTTATATTCCAGTAATCTCACTTGTTGGTCAAGGATTCAATCAAAAGCCACATATAACTCTTAATAAAAAATTGCAAGTTTTGCAGGCTCATAAAAGGCAAATACAGATGTCAGGAAAGTCCTCTCTTCTGTGAACTGTTCCTGGTAAGTAATGTGATCAAATAGCCACCTACAGAATATTCATGAAGGTAAAAGTCTTTTTAAAAGGTCTTTTCTTAAGAAATTTCCAAAGCAATTGATGGATACCCTAACATGTTATCTCAGATTGAAGAATATCTTCTGAACAAGATAAAAATCAGCTACTAAGCAAAATTTTCACAAAAACCTCCACAATGACACCTTTCCAAAACATCTAGCTTTCAACACAGATGACTTGTACTAATGCCAGCTAAAGTCATAAGCTTTTATCTACAAGGAATCTAAACATTAGAGTGTAGAAAGATGTTGATTCATCTATACTAGAAGAATGGTCAGTTTCTGCTAATTTTTATGGTGATTAAAAATTACCATTACCTCAGAACTCCCAGAGTTAGTCTGGCAGCTGGTGGAAGTCATAATTAAATAATTAAAAATAACTGAAAGTTTATGTTAATTTTTCTATTAAAAAAATAAAAAAGAGAGACAGGGTGTAGCAGAAATTATCTTGCTGCTTGAAGATTGCTTTTTATTCTCAGAGACCTCACCAGTGATGTATGAGGATCCTATTATATAGTACTGTGTTAAAAGTACCAGAATTAAGAGAATAGTTCTGAGATGGTGAGACTGGGACGAGGCATTACCATGACCTGATGCCCTAATGCAGGAACAATATGTTCCTTGTCCAGAACTCTTACCTGAAGCACCCAGAAAATGAATAGAACTGTAACTGATTCTAATATGACTTGGGAGTCCAGAGCTGAAACCTTCCTCTAGAAAGCAGTCTAGAAATAATTTTTTTTTAAATAAAAACTTCCAAAACGAAGTTAAAAGATCTCTTGTGCACCTTGTCAAACAGAGCTTTTTACTGTAATCTACATAATAGCAATGACAAAGAAGAATAATTTGGAGGCTGTCGCGGGTGGGAGCAGAAGGCTTAGACAAAAAACTCTTATACATATTGCAAAACTATTAACAAAAAAATATACAAATATAAACATCAAAAAATTAGCAAGATAAAAATATATACAAACAATTGATGCAGCAAGGAATGGTGTGACTTTTTGGTTTTGTTGCTACTTCATCTTCTTATGGAGCATCCATAGAAGGAGGAAACTCAGTCGCACTTGGACCTGTTTTAAAAAGAGGGAACTATCCATCTGGTGATGATCTAATAGTAAAACTAACAGTAGCAATTTGTGAAAAGACACTTAGAAGACACTAAAATGCAATAATCATTATTAATAAAACTTATTTCAAATTGTCTAGGAACTTAATAATATTACTCAGTAATTTTTAACACTATGTAAATAAACTCAAGTTAGAGTAGTCACTCATCCTTCTGGGACCTTTACCATTTTTGGATAAAATGGTTTTTGTCAGACCCACACATTCTAGTATTTGTGGATCCATGGGCTTTGGGGCATGTTAGAGTGGTTCATAGGGAAAAGGACATCACTCTTTTCCTTTTTGCCTACTTACCCCTTGGGTATTTGAAACCATATTTGCTATTATGATTGCTAGTTGCAAGGTCCTGAGAGGACGGTTGACTAATGCAGGTATAAATAATCATGTTGTAATACTGGAAACCATATTCTGCAAACACAGAAAGATAAACCATTTAATGTCAATTTTTTATTCCCTTGCAGTTTTATCTGCAGTGGGTTTACTGTGGATTTACTGTTTACTGTACTGTTTTTCTGTATCTGGAGCTGTCTATATCTACCTATACTTTTTGCAACAGTGTGGGTAATCATAAGAACAGGTAAGAGTCCTTTCTACTTTGAGTGGTTCACCATTTCCTGTCCAGAGGTGTACCCAATCTCCTAGCTGATGAAGGTAAACTTGGACATTCAAGATTATTAGCAAGGCTAAAATAACAAAGTTATACAATGATAGATGACTTACGCCATTCCATCTCTGATCACCAGTAGCAAAGGGCAAGGCTCCATATTTATTAGCCCCAGTAGGTGGTATTGTAGGGGCAGTTTGCAAAGCCTTACTGAGGACACAAAGGAACTGGATTTCAACTCATTCCCCTTAGAATTCACCCAGGCTTTTGCTTAAAGGGGGTCCAAACCCATAACATTCAAAGGGGAAGACTGCAACATCATCATAGCCTTGGTGGGGTGATTATTACCAGGCAATCAACATATTACTCAAGCTAACCACAGCAGCTTAGAGCATCCAAACACACCAGCAACATATATCCATTTTTTCTCAGGTATTATCCCACATCCTTTTGCAGTTTCCTCATTCAGAGGAGTTATCTGCAACTCTGTGTTGACTTAAAAGGTGGCTGGTGACCACAAGGGACCAAGCAGAAAAGTTGCTACCATATCTCTAGTGAGCCTTTTGAGATATTTCCATTTGATGTCTCCCAGCTCACATATTGGGAGTGGTGCCAGGAGTTTACTTAGTTCTGGTCTTTGAACCAGGGAGGTTTTTCTTTCCAGTCCATCCTTCTGATGGCAATTTGGTGTTTCACTTCATTCATAAGAAATTCTACCCATTTGTTATGAATTACCAACTCCTCTGCTATTTCCCTCCCCACAATACTGGGTCTTACTTGTGTTTCACCCACGAAAGCAGCTCTAAACTGATCTTGTAATTGCATTCCTTTCATTAGGGGGTTCGCTCTATCTGGATTAGCAAACAACAACATGGGAGAGCGCTGAGAGAGTACAAAATGTTTCCCATGTAAAAACTGGAGGCAAGCCGCCTCCTGCATCCCCTCAGTGAAACCAGTTAATGCTGGAGGAGGAGAGGAGGGCTCCCCTGTTCTCCCTGCCAGGTTTTTATAAGCACGCAGAGTTCACAGTATGTGGCTTTACATCATGCTCATAGAATCACAGATCAACTGGGTTGGAAAAGATGTTTGAGATCATCAAGTCCAACCCTTGATCCACTGTGGTTACTAGAGCACGGCACTAAGTACCACAAACAGCCTCATCTTAAAAACCTCCAGGGATGGAGAATCCGCCACTTCCCTGGTCAGCCCCTTCCAATGTTTGATTACTCTCTCTGTAAAAAATTTCTTCCTAATATCCAACCTAAACCTCCTCGTGGCAGAGCATGCCTTCTTGTCCTACTGCTGGTTGCCTGGGAGAAGAGACCAACTCCCAGCTCATTACAACGCCTTTCAGGTAGTTGTAGAGAGTGGTGAAGTCTCCCCTGAGCCTCCTCCAAGCTAAACAACCCCAGCTCCCTCAGCCTCTCCTCATGGGACTTGTGCTCAAGTCCCTTCACCAGACAAGTCCCTTCACCAGCCTCATTACCTTCTTTGGACCTGCTCCAGCACCTCAATATCCTTCCTGAACTGAGGGGCCCAGAACTGGACACAGCACTCCAGGTGTGGCCTCACCAGCACTGAGTACAGGGCAAGAATCACTTCCCTGCTCCTGCTGGCCACACTGTTCCTGATCCAGGCCAGGATGCCCTTGGCCTTCTTGGCCACCTGGGCACTCTGCTGGCTCATGTTCAGCCTCCTGTCCATCCAAACTCCCAGGTCCCTTTCCACCTGGCTGCTCTCCAGCCACTCTGTCCCAGCCTGTAGCGCTGCAGGGGGTTGTTGTGGCCAAAGTGCAGGACCCGACACTTGGCCTTGTTGAACTTCATCCCACTGGAATCAGCCCAACTCTCCAGTCTGTCCAGGTCCCTCTGCAGAGCCCTCCTGCCTTCCAACAGGTCGACACTCCCTCCCAACTTGGTGTCATCTGCAAATTTGCTGATGATGGACTCAATCCCCTCATTTAAATCATCCATAAAGATGTTAAACAGGACTGGGCCCAGCACTGATCCCTGGGGGACACCACTGGTGACCGGCCGCCAACTGGATGCAGCCCCGTTCACCAGCATTCTCTGGGCCCCCACCATCCATCCAGTTCTTAACCCAGCACAGAGTGCCCCTGTCCAAGCCATGGGCTGCAGCTTTTCCAGGAATATTCTGTGGGGGACAGTGTCAAAGGCTTTGCTGAAGCCCAGACAGACACATTCACAGCCTTCCCGTCATCCACCAGGTGGGTCACCTGATCATAAAAGGAGATCAGGCTGGAACTCTGTCTCCCTCTCCACATTTTGTGAGAGGCTGGAAAACTCCATCTCACTGTTTCTCTCCGTCTCCCCCATGAGACAGGAGGTTTGCAAATCTAATTTGCTTTCTCTTTTGAAAAACCTGTTGAACCGGCTTCTCAAGTTTTCAGTCAAAGGTTTAGCCAACTGGACGAAAGACTTAACGAGCTCGTTATCACCTTTCTTTAAGGCTTCAGCCGTAGCCTCTGGCAAGTCAGTTGCTGAAACTTCTCTCTTACTAGACTTTTTTTCTTTTACCAGGTTTCTTGATTTTTTTCAGTAATATTGTGCCTCCGTAAAAATTCTGTTAAGCTTTTTGTCTGTTTCTCGAAATTACCATCATTCTGTTTCGACTACATCAATTGTCGAGGGTGGGAGTGGAAGGCTTAGACAAAGTTATTAAAACACAGAACCTTGCCACTGACTTTCGAGATACAGAAGGGACTGCTTTGCTTTCTAAACCCCTTCTCAGGGAGTAGTCTAGGCGCGGATAAACCCAGTTTTAGCTTCGGATTATGTTAATGGTTTAAATTTAAAGGATTATAGAGGTATGATTGATTAACTTTTGCCCCGCGGGTTTTAATGATTGGCAAAATGAGACTCTTTATAGAAAATGAATAATTTATTTTCTACAAATGCTCCGACAATATAAACACCAAAAATCTACTAGTAGAGTATAATATAGCGTGAAGTAGTAACAAAGCAATTAGTGAAGCAGTTATATTAAAGCTATCAAAAAGAAATCAGTATTAGTAGAGATATGATGTAACTCACCCATATCAACTCTTTTGGGGAGATCTTTCTCTCTCAGCCTCGAGGAGTAACTCTGCAGGGCATCCCCAGCCAAGGGAGAAAACTCCACATACAAACCCCAAGAAGGGTTATGTCAGAAGAACCTGACATCCTTGCAGTTCAAAAGGGAAATATGTTCCATTATCCATACTCTATCACTGCTTAGTTGAAGGAGGGAGGCATTTCTAACCAGCTTGCAGCGTAAGTATGTAAGTGTATATTCACTATCTATAGAGACATTCTCGACTACTCATTTGTGATACAAACTCTTCCACGGACACGTCAGTATGAGTGAGACTTTCAGTCCCGTTTCCTAAATCACTGAGAGCCAGTGTAAGAAGAACAAAAGTAAAAGCTAAGGGTGAAAAAGAAAGTAGAGTGATCTAAAGAAAAAGAACAAGATAACAGGACAAGAGAAGGGAGAAGATAATATGACAGAACAAAGAGAAAAAGAATATTTCAGACCACTCAGAGAAAGCACATAAAATAAGGGATGTTTTGGAATAGGTGTCTAAGAATCAAATAGGGCCAAGGTCTAAGCTTCCCTAAAAATCTGGATTCACTAATTCATATGAAAACAAGACCTGTCCTGAAAAATTTTTCTCTGACTCAAAGGAAAGCGGTGGTGGGCTAAGGAGTAAAAATGGAGATAAAGTTAATGGAAAAAAAAGGGAGAAGGAAAGCAGCGAACCTGCAAAAGCATGGGGAGTGGTTGGTCTACCAAAGAAAAGAGGACAAGGGTCAACAAGGACATCCAATTAACTTCTCTCAGGGTAGAAGTTCAGAATGGAGTAGAATGGGTGGAGTGACTGCATGGAAAAGCAACCCTGATATGTATTGTATAGTGAATCTCTAAGTGAGAGATAGGATGCTCTATTGTCCACAAAATATTTGATTTACAGATCTTTCTCATCTGAATGAAAAGACTACTGTTTGTTTTCTTCCTACACATGCATTTATAATGTACGTCAGAAGACCTTTGATAGTATGACACAGAAATTTAAATAAGAACAATGTACGGTGTGTCAGTCTTGTTACAGTATTCATCTTGTTACAGAAAGACAGCTTCAAAATGTGGGTTCAACAAAATTTTTTTCTTAACTTTTAAAAAATTTTAATTACAATTATCTATATTTCTTTTGTACAACATTAATATTCATATCCTCTCAGAAACGGAACGAAGAAATGGGTACTGAACAGAACAAATTGAGGCAATATATCACACCAATGATAGGTCATCTTCCCTTTGAAACATACTTGTTCACCCTATCTAATGCTTTATTTTTCTATAGATATGATGACAGGCATTTGAACATATTTCAAGAAGAACAGTGAGTAAGAAATATTAAAGGACAGTTCCTATTTTAAGCAAATTGCCAATTACCAGTGAGTTTTGTGAACTCTGGATCCTGACAGAGAATGGAATTTCAGAATGAAAAACACAGCAAGAAAATAAATGCTGACCACCACACAGCCTGAGTGTCTGGATGCCAGGGATACTATGAACAGATATTTTGAGATCTTCTGTGGTATATCAAATAGAGATGCTCCAAAACAATTTAATTACTTTTAATCATTCTATCCTATGTGGACTAAATAGATAGACACAAAAACGACCTCCTACCACTCTGTTTTGCAAACCTGATGTTGCTTTTTCCTTTGCTGAAAATTTGCATGTTTTCTCAGAGCCTGTTTCTTTCTCACAATAAACAATGCAAAGCCTTCCTGCCAAAAAAATGTCCGAATGCTAAACAGTTGCTATTATAGTCATTATTATAGCAGCAACTTTGAGCTGCGTGCTTTTAAATTATAATTATTTTTACAAAAGATTTTTGTGTGTCTTGATTGCAGTAATTATGGTTCCATAGTAGTAAATGTCTATTTAAAGAGTCACGTTAGCTTACTGCTCCAAATAAATTCGTTTCCTTAAATGAACTTCATACAAATGAGTGGTTTTCTTTGTATTTATTTTACTTGCTATGCTAACAACAAACTAAGATGCATTAAACAGCTGATAAACCTTTGTTTCATCATAAAAATAACTATGGACAAAGATGTCAAGTGAAAGCAATGTTTTATGAAATTTTTAAAGAATAGCCAGTATAAATAACAACAGAAGATTCAAGACATTGGCTTCTTCAACAACCGGTCTGGGAATTAAGACAGAGAACAGTTCAGTCAGTTGAACACCCACAAATGGTGCTATTATCCCAAAACAGGACCTATGTGGGATCACTGCTATGTTGCCACCGTGACAGGCAGGGATTGGAGGTTACAGTATAAAGTACCCATGACAGTGCGTACTCTCAGCCAGAGCTTCCACAGAGCACTCTCAGTAGTTCTGTTGATTCACAAGCTACTGAAGTTTAGCAGCTGATCAGAGAAAAGGTTTAAAAAAATAAAAAAAAAAAAAAAAAAAGGAAATTAGGAAGAGGAAACCAAGAGGGACCTGATCGACAGGGGGTAGCAAATTTCTGGCTCCAATGCTATGTTCTTTTGTAACTGGCCACAATGCTGTATTAACTTTTCAAATGAACCTGTCTCTCCCTCGGCGCCCATTTAAGTGGTTGCCACTGGCTGTGGGAAAGCCAGTGAAGCCACACTATACAGCCGTTTGCATCTGAAATGCTATCAGCTACCAACGTGATCCCATTCGATTTCTTACAATGACACAGTCCCATCCTATTCCCCATCCTTCCTAGACAACCTTGCCTATTCTTCAGTGAGAATCGCCCCATTGTACATGCAGACATTCACATCCTTGATAAGACAGTTAGGGGAAAAGTTCACGAGCCACATCCTCTGCTGGTATAACTTCATTTCCCTTCCCCCTTCTCCCCAGAGTGAGTGGTGATCTGACTCCCTCTGTTGAAAGGAAACAAGGTTGTCTATTCAGCTGCAGTCAGACATACAGTGTGTGTTAAGGCCCAGACAGCCCATGATGCTGAGTGGAGATACTAGAGGTTCGTATTTCTCTGCTGGGAATTTTCACAGAACAGAAAAGGAATGCCGCGTTTTTGTGTGTAACTTCCGACTGCCAACTGACAAGAGTTCAAAAACATAAAATCACATCTATTCTCACAGCTCAAGGCCTCAAAATGTAGGAATAAGAATGACCAAGTGGATTTGTTGGCTGACTTGAGTGAGCAATGTTAAGACTGTAATGGGACACTAAACAGAAAACTAGAAACAGATCACTGAAAATCTAAGTCCTGCTGATTAGATTGGCCAGTGATACTAGTCACTCAGCCTAATCTTAGGCAAAACACTTTGCTTTTGAAATGTGTTTGAATGGAATAGTAAGTAATGTAAAGTAATGTAATGGCCAGTCTTCGCGAACGAAGAACCGGGGAAGGTCTTTCCACCTTCCAGCCTGCGCATTGGATTTTTTAGGTGAGACACAGTGTGCGCGGAACTGAGCCCACCCTTTCATCCTGAGGTTCATCTGCCGGGGCCAGGCGAGCTTGGACGGTGGCAGCGAGGTCCTCAGGACGTAGATGGATTGCCTTACAGGGCTAACGAGCTCCATCTGCCCGGGGAGTGGCCCAGACCGGGAATCGAACCCAGGTCTCGGCATTGACAGTGCCGCGGTTTAGCCACTGCACCACCAGGGGCACTCTAATGGAACAGTAGCATTTTCTAAAAACACTTATTTTTTTTCATAATTGACCTTGAGCAATGATCTGCAACTTATTAAAGATAAACTGAAGTTCAGCGTAACCAGTAGAGGAAGCTTCCTCCCAAGAGTGACCATGAGCAAGATGTTTTGACTAATTTCATGGAGTGATCCTAGAAGGTGTGAACTGGATTCCTTTAGAAGAAACAAAACCAAATTATCGTACAGTCCAAGCACAAAAAGGTGTTTGGGTCACAAAACACGGTGAGAAGTAACCCAGTGTAACACTGCTTCAGTGCAAATTCTGCAAATGTCATGTGTTCAGAACCAATTAGGGTTCTGCAGATCTGTTCCTGCAGCTTTTCGTATTTGCTAACAGAACATAGCCTATGTCTTTTTCTAAGTATATGAATTATAGCACACTATCTCCTCCCACTGTCTTCAATAGAGCAATATAAAAACTTTCTTGACATCAAATCTTAATAAAAAATAAGGTATATTTTTCACATTTGGCTGGCCAAAAGGGAGGTATTCATCAAATCCCCCTTAAATAAACATACTTGAAAAAAAAAAACAGAAGACAAACGTCAATTTCTCATAATAATTTTAGCATGCTCAAAAGAACAAGAACCAAGCAAGTATCTCAGGAAAAAAAAATGATGCTGTGATTCTGTGGAAATATTCAGGTGCCTAAGGCTATGTATTAGCTCTGACAAATATTTGCTAACTTGTGTGGTTTCATTTTGATCTCTTAGAGACTCAGTTTCTTCACTGATACAAGAGTGTATAACAGTAATAAACAGTTCTAAGCTGAATTGGAGCTTGCAAAGGAATCATATATTTTCTTATTTTGTCCAACTTCATTTAAGTCTAGGGACATACTGACATGCCATTTACTGTGAATAAATATATTCTTTCACAAGAATTTTATTCCTGTTTCATCACTATGGTATCAACAATACTTCACTAAGCTCCTGCCGAGAACCCCTGAACTTCCAGTATTCAGCCAGTATTAATTTATAGTGCTGATTTATTAATGTGAAGCCTGGGTTACTTTAACTGGTAAAAACTTCTTTCAGCTGGGATCCATGCACTCTCATACAATCTTTTTTGCTATCTGGGAAATTAAATGATTGTACAGTTTGTTACTTCATTTCCACTTCTTGCATTTGCTACAACTGACTTCCCTGGGTTTTTGTTTGATAGCTCTTGTCAGCTGAAAATAACAATACTTTATGTTTGAACAGCAGCTTCCACACTAATACCTTTACTTATTTTACAAAGGCACTCAGATACTGTGCCAACATGCACGGTACATTTACTGACTGACTTTGTCAGCCAGAACCAAACAGGGCTTGGGTTTGCCACAACACATGATTTCAGCTGGCTGAACCCACACTGCCTGGGAGGACAAGGTTCAAGCTAATGCCAGTCCTTGCCCTATACCTGCATTTCCCTGCTTTGCAAGCCACCTGGTGCATTGTCAAAGAAGGAGTGAAACCGGAACCAAAGCATAGATTAGGGTGCTCAGCTGGTATGACATCACACACATACTCATCCAGGCCTTAGGTCATTCCTTGCAAATTTTTATGGAGAAAAGAAAACCCAACAAAACCTAACACTCTGAGGAATGCAGAAATTACTTTATCTGTGTAAAAGTGGTGGTTGCACCAATGTTGCTCTGTGTTACTTACAAAACTCTCAGTGATTTTGTATATTCTTAGGGTTGGCAGATCCAATCTCAAGTCTACAATGTGTCTAGCAACTTTTAAGTTTTTCTGCCTAGAAATTAATAGTACTGAAAATACTACAGATAGAAGCACTGAACTAATAACATTTTAAATTTGTCTTTGTCCTACTATTAATGCTGCATACTATATCTGTTAAATCTATTGCATATGTAAAAGGAAATTCTAGTGCATTTTAATCACATGTACTGCAGGGTGACACTGTATGATGAACCCATTTGACTAATTTTTTTTGCTATCCAGGGACATCTAAAATACATGAAGTTTTATAATATAAAGGATAATACTCTTCCTATAGTATAATTTCCCTGTATCACCATCAAAGTTATAATCAATAAAAGAAATTAAGGTCAGGAGATGAAGGAGGGAGGAAAAAAGGTAGAAAAAAATTGAATATATTGTCATTAAAGCTCTTAACATTCTGTTTTTCCAAGCACTGTATAATAATATCTGTTGTTCACTGAGAGCTAATAAAAGTATCACTACTGAAGTTAAGATGAGCTGTATGACTGATTATTGTCTATTTTCATTTTGCTTCACTGAATAGCTAATCTTCTTACAAGATTATCCTCATTTCTCATAGACTCCGTTATTAATGAGAGTATTAAATGATGAAATACTTTTGGATCACCTCATTTGGGGCCTGACCCTTGTCCCATTAAGGCAAGAGGATCATTACCATTCACATGAACAGAGGGCAGAGCCTATCTGTGAGGCTTCGGAGAAAGCATGCCATACTCCAAAAAGAAAGATCAAATGAGCAGATTACTAAAGGCCAAAGGTTAGTTAAAAGGTCATTTCCCATCTACAGAAAAAATGGTGAAAGTATTTCAAAACTAAGCCACAAAAATTATAAAAATGAGATAGACACTTAAGCTGCCAGGTGCAAGAAAATACAGCATGTGTTTCTGTCTTTGCAACACAAGCTGTCAACATATTTTCTTAATTTTTTTAAAGGCAATTAATAACTAATTTATATGTTTACTTTCTTTCTTAAGTTAGATACCGAAGATCAAGATTCCATGGCACACAGTTAAATCTAAACCTACATTAATCATGAGAAAGTTTGGAATAATCCTAAGATTATTTTACTCTACATCATTATTTGAATCACATTCAAATTAGAAGACACTTTAGCAAAACCATTACTTTGACTAGTGGAAGTAAATATGCTCCTAATTTTATTTTTTCTCTAACTGTACTTTGTGTGTTTAGTATAGAAGTGTTTTTCTGTACACTTTAAATGACTTCTTGGGAAACAAATTTAAAAGTCAACATCATCTATAAACAAACCTTTATAGATTAATATTTATAGATGAATTACATATTTAGCATAAATTTATATATATAATTTTCCATTTACAGTATTTGCCTTGTAAGGAAATACACTTAAAATCTCGTGAAAGATCCACTGAAATATAATTATCGAGCATTTTAATTCTACTTTACCAGTGTTTAAAAGGGAAGTGTTCCTCTAAAAAGGAAAGTTCTTTCGGAATTCCCCTGGCTCCCCCCAGCAAATATCTTTTCAACACCATGGACTTTGAAATGCTAGAAACACCGAAGGCCATTTATTTCTCAAAAGTGGATGTTTTATGCTTTTCCCTTTGTCATTCATTATCTGGTATTGAAACAGGCTGAATGGGGGCTTGCTATCAGTGAGTTTAAATTGCCAAAGAAGAGGTAAGTCTTATCGTGTGTTTTGAGTATCTACAAGAAACATACAAAGAATTATAGCAGATTATGTTTTTCTCTATCTTTGACAATGCTCCAGTTGCTTCGGAAAGATAGGTCTGGTTCACCACCCTGGGAAGAGTAGATCTTGAGTTAACTGCCTTTAGGAATTAGAAAATACGTGATAACCTCACACTGTGCCTCTTTCCAGAACAAAGTAGCATGCTCAGATATTTTATCATTTATTTTAAAAACCACAGGAATAGTGTTATATAATTCTGTTTAGGCTTTTCAGACATCCACTCTGGAATGTCTAATAAAGAAGCGCTCCGGCCTCCCCTGCTCTGTGTGTGTGCGATCGCTCAATTCTTCCCGGATCCTGATTTTGCATTTCTAACGAAGCTGAACCGACAAAGCGTGAAAGTGGTCTAAAAGGAAAAACAAAGAAAGTGACCCTGCTTTCACTGTGCCAAGACTAATCAATATTCCAGGAGCTCCGCTTTCCCCTCTCTGCCGATGTGTGGTTTGCTGTGGGTTGGGTTGTTGGGTTTTTTTCCCCCCCTTTTTCTTTTTTTTTTTTTTTCCTCCCTTTCCCCAGCGCTGGGCTCACAGTCTCCTCCCCTTCCTTAAGTTACGGTGATAGTAAGCTGTCGTATTCCCCGACACGTGCAGAGTGTGTGTCCCGCTCACTGCTCCCGCAGCTCCGCGCTCTCCGCCGGGAAGCCCCCGCCTCGCCCCGCCGCCACCGCGCCCCGGGAGCTCCGCAGGTCTGGGAAGGTGAGCCCACCCCGTCCTCCCTCACGGGCTCCAGTGGGAAGTCCCGGGTTTTTTCGCTCTCTGCCTTTGTGTCTTACTTGATGCAGCGATCCTCTTGGCTGTACCCGTACTCTTGCTTGATTTTGGTGTAAGTTAACGCAGGACAGATTAGCCGTGTTTGAACGTCCTGGGAGGGAAAGGGACTGGGAATTACTGCTTTTATTATTGTTCTGACTTACAAAATATTTACCCTAATTGTTCTATGGGGAAAAGAAAAAAAAAAAAAGAGGAAGAAAATCCTGCTTGCACACAGTAGTCGTGTCCAAGGTAGAATACTTACTGATTTAAATATTCAGCTCATTCTCAGAATGTTTCCACTCTCTAAAGCAGCAAAGATTGTAGTGTTCTGTTAAAATTCGGGGAGGATATTGCACTAAAGTGCCAATCTCGAAACATATGGTAGAAGCAACGATCAGATACCACCAAAATAAACTTGTTACAACATGAAATTTCGTTTAAAACATGCGGATTGAAACCCCTGTGTATTTATATTTTAAGTGCTTCCTTAAAAAAAAAAGGTATTTAGTCACTTGATTTATTAAAAGTAAGATGTTGAACTGCTTATACGTGGAAAGAGATGAGAGACTTCAGCAGAAGCAACTAACTCCATTTATTAATTTATAATTTCTTCATAAAAACATAGCAGTGTGTTAACTAAGATTTCAAGAAAATGGAATTCTCAGTGTGACAAATACCGTTGAACAGGCTCCATTATTAAACAAATTCATACCCATCAGCCACGGAGAAAAAAAAATTTAAAATAGAAAATAATGTCTTAACGAAAAACTTTTATTGCTAAAGCATTTTAAGGTTTGATTTAGTGTGTGATTTCTTAAAATCAGACATGGTGTGATTTTTGTGTTGTCCTGTGCAGGGCCAGGGTTTGGATTCAGTCATCCTGATGGGTCCCTTCCAATTTAGTGTATTCTCTGATGTTATGATATATGCCCGTAATTGCTATCAGGCAAGTTAAGCATTACTCTGAAATGTGTACCTGAAGTGACAAGTTAAGTGGGATGTTACGTCTGATGTTCTATGGATGTGCTCGGCATAGTTTACAATAGAGTTAAAAGATGAATGTTATTAACATAAAACTGTAAAAGTCCTATCTTTTAAATAGTAGTTGACAGATAAATAAACTATTTCTGCCGCCTTTTGCCATGTGAAAAGGAGGAACTGAGCCAATTCATTCAATGATTTAAAAGTATCTGAAATGCAGAACATTTTAAATATACCAGTTTGAGCAAAATCTTTCTCCAATGGTTAATGTGAGTGTAAGTTAGATTTAAAAAAAAAAACCCTGATAAACAGGTTAAAATCAAGCCTGAAAGATAGTTTTAAGCACTATAAGACGTTAAGTTTCCGTGAATTGTACTGATTTTATATTAGAATATCACTAGCAAATGGAAAGAAGAAGAAGCTACTCCTGGGTTTTGCAGCATAGCAGCAATTCAGGTTAATGTCTGAAGACACAGGACACCTATCTGATTGTATTAAAAACTGCAAATCAACAACTTAGTTATTACAAACAATTCAATTTTACTGAAACATGAAGAATATTTGCTTCCATGTAAACATATGGCTAATCATTCCTGTAAAATCTTACTACAGTATTTGATATTTCTTGTCTTGCAGGTTTCTCCAGTACCTTCCACTTCAAAGAGCCTTCCACTTTCCTGAAAGGATATTGATAGAAGTTAATTACAAAAGAAAACTTTCGACAAGATAGATGACTAAAGGTAACGGAGAAGATCCAAAACCTGGAAGTAGGATGGAACGCATTCAGCAAGGAGTCAGGAAACGTACACTTTTGGCAAAAAAAAAAGTGCAGAGCATAACAAAGGACGATGTTAAAAGTTATTTAATGAGGAATGCCTTTGTGCTCTTCACCGTTGTTGCTGTGATTCTTGGTGAGTAATTTGTTCAGTAGGAATATTCTGTTCTCCAATGCATTTGACAATGACGATGTGCCTGGGTGATTTTCATTACAAATTAGTTCCCAAATTCTTCTGCACTGATAAGAATGTTCTGGTTTGGAGAGTTTTGGCTTTGACAACTGCATGTTGAAGTTTTAAGGAAGAGGCATTTAATTATTCTAATTATTTCTATGAAGAATTTTGGTGAAAAAACAAAACCCCAGCTGTTTTATGGATTCTTGTCTTAAAGAATTAGATACAAAAGCTGAAATGAGTGTTTTCAATTGTGTCTTTTTCTACCAAAGCCATTTACAGAAAAAGCTCAGAATGTAACTTTTATTTTCCTAACCTATCAAAGAATTAACACCTTGCAATGACAAACAAAAATTCTCAATGAATGAAATTAAGAGACATTTCTAAGCAAAGGCATGTGATAGAACTTCAGTCTTTTCAGTTTTCCCTTGATAAATGTAAACCCAAGTACTAAATGCAAAGCAATTAAACCTCAGTGCTCTCTCAGCCACTCACAATCTTATACAGGTATCTTTCAGGTGTAATTAAGGCAACAATGACAATGTTACTTATTCAAAGGACTGAAAGATAGCACCTGATTAAATGCCTTTTAAGAGTATATGGAGAGGAATCCAGAACATCAAGCAGCATTTAGATTTGGAATGCATCAGAATGTAAATTTAAAATACTGCTACATCCTTTCAACTAACAGTAGAAAGAGAATCTTCTGAGAAAAACATGCAATTTTTAAAACTGATTTTCCTTTGTGTGATGACATGGTCACTCTTGAGAATTTTTCTCTGACTACAGATTTTCTAAATGGCACCATATGTTTCTTGAAATAACTGTTCTTCGCAGGGTGAACAAGAACTTTATGGCTTTACTCAACTACATTAACTTTTATTTTCTCATTAGTTTAAAATATAAAACTGTGAATCTGTGCCTGATAATGAAAAAGCAGAAGTTAGCACCTAAATGTAAGGGTATATATCCTATGCCCTGGTAGGCCTTCATAATGCTGTTCTATATAGATCTTGCTATGTTTCTTCGAATCTTTTAGGAATTGAAATTCTAGGGCTTTACCATTGTTGTTGTTTGATGCCACATCTGCAGTGTTATTTCAAATTAATTTCAGGTTTGGTGGTCTTTTTCTGGGAGACATTTATATTACTGTCCCTATTGATAGAATAAAGTACTTTGTTTCTATAACAGTAATGTCAGTGTTTCATATTTATCAGCAGTATTTGATAATAAGTGTTTTTAATTCCTAAGAATTTTTCTGAATGTAAAAGCCTATTAATATCAGGGCTTAAAAAATCAGGTGTTTTATCTGCAATGGCCAGGAAAGGCAGAGCAAATAACGCATGTTTTGAAAAACTGTCCAACCTCAAAGGAGTCAGTTCTCTGATTGTCACCTTTCCATACTGCATATGACCAATGTGCAGTTTTTTCACTGTCCTCTACCTTCAGTATGGCTCCCATAAATTTGTCAGTGTGTGAAATGTAATGCAGACTACAAGTGTTTTTGCTGTTATTAATAATAATGTTATTATTAAAGCTAACATTCCAGTTAGCTTTAGAAGACTAGTGACAGTCTGCCCACAGCTCCCCTACCACCTACAGGAATGGCAGAGTATCAGTAGTGCTGGAACACAAGCTGGAGAACTAAGGAAAACATGCAGCCCTAGGATGAGCCAGCTGCTCCAGTTCTGCTCATTAACCTATAGACATATCCATCATAACACAAGGAAAAAAGTCTTCTCATTATTCTGATGGAATGCTCAAAATTTTTCTCAGATTTGTTATTTGTTGTGTAGTTTTGAAGTGCTTGTGTATGATTAGAACAGTGAGCGCACTTTAAATAGTTCTTAAAAGGTAAGATTTGGGGTTTTTGAGTGTCTTTTGCTGTTGTGCTAATATTCAGAAGTAGGGAACAGTTGGCTAAAGAGTTTGGAAAACACTCTGTGGTTGAACTCCATCTGTCTACTTTGGCAAGGACTAAGTTGTTATCATCACTCAGTTTTTTTGTGATCTGTAGAAAATCAGATGGTGGGCTTGATCGCTTTCCTTGCAGAATTAACCCACCAATTAGCACTACTGGTTTTCTCATTAGAGGTGCTTGGATGTGAGTCCAGGTGGAAACCAAACTGTATCCAGGCCTGGGTTGAATGATTTACAAGAAATTATGCTTAATGCTGTGTGATCTAAACAGACGGTTGACAGTTTTGAGGGCTCTCAGTCCAGGAGTTTTCATAGAGACCAAACTCAGAGAAAGCAAAATTTTAGTTTACAGGGAATGACATTTCTTCAGAGACATTTCTTTCACATTTCTTTTTTCAAATGATTGGCATGGGAAAGCCTTTTTTAAGAGAGCATTTCCCACTTCTTTGCTGAACAGGATTGATGCTGGTAGAGGTTAAGTTCATAGGATCTTAGCTTGGTTTCAGGACTGTAATTTATAATAGGCACTTGAGTTTGTGTTTGTGGAAACTTGCACTTTATTATGAAGTGGGTAGCTACAACATGCAATTCTTTGTGTTGCATACATATATTTTGCAGAGAGAGTAGAGTTTTTCTGGCATTCACATAAGATGAAATACAGCTATGTACACTAATTTCTGCTGTTACTCTGATTCTAAACTGAATGCTAAGCTGCTACAGCACCAAGTAAATTAATTCTTTAAAAACCTATTGGTGAAGATGCGAGAAGTTTTGATTCATTTTGAGAATTACTTAGCACTAGTCTCTATTTCCCAGAAGCCTCATAAAAGGTCCTTCTGACTTCACCTTCTTCATAGGCACGGTCTATCTATCATATCATCATAATCAGTGTTACTCTTTCTTGTGAACTTTAAGTTCTTTCAAGCCCTTTGAGAAACTTTTGAGAGAAGCAGAGTCAATAACTGAGTTATGATGCAATTTTTCAGATTCTTCTGGTACACTTGAGAGAGATTAAATTAGTTTTCTGCCTTCAATCTTGTCAAGACCCAATAGATGAGAACAATTATGTGAGGCATGTTTGGGAAGTGGGGCACTGGTAAATTCAGAACATCATGATGACCAGGAGCAATTTAAGGTAGGCTAGGGAACATGGTGGCTCACGGAAAATCTGCAGGAAGTCTTTGAAGTGCTAGCCAAATTACTGGCAAAATCTCAGGCAGTGCCCTCTCTCCCACGCTACTTTGAATCATCATCCTGTCCCCAAAATGCCTTCCTTTCAGATACCCTTCCTTTATCAGGCTGTGTTGATTCTCTGCTACTTACCTCCTATTTTCTGAAAAATGCCATGGGAGTCCAGACTTTACTCTGGCAGGACTCCTAAATGCCAAAGAATCTCCTGTGGATTCTGAACTTGTACTGAGGGAAAGACCGAGACACAGAGAGCTGCTGAGCAAAGATCCTCAGAAGCTGTTCACAGAGAAATACTGTTTTAATTGAGGGGCTCAGTGAAGTAGAGGCAGGTTGTGAAGCAAGCATTATAAAAAGCAGTTTCTGCGTAGTTATCAAGCCATTATAGCTCCAGTTTGTTAGCTAAAACTCTTTTAGTTTTATGTCGCCAGAGTTTTACATTACAGTTGTCTGCTGGGACACTCAAGGGGGATGGAGGTGGTTCCAGTTCTGTTTTCCGACTACTTGTCCACTGAAGGAAACGCAGGACTGGCTGTGTCACTGAAACAAGGCTTCTGTAATTGCCAGCAATCTCACAATGGATGTGAAATGTAGATAGGCCCATACAACATCTGTTGTGCATGAACCAAGAGTCCAAAGCATTCCAATGGCTCTACAAAAAAAACTAGTTGAAAGTATGGAAAGAAGACAGGAGAGATGAAGGCACTGACTTTTGCCCTTGCCCCTGAAAAATGCAAACTGTTGAAGAAAGCCCATCTCAGCAACAGTCCTGGTCTGAGCAGTAGTTTAAAATGAGAGCTAAGAGGTAGAAGTCTGTAATACACAGATAGGCAAAATCCTGGATAGCAGTCACAGAAAGGACAGTATCTGGTGTGTCGAAGCAAAATTTTTTCTGCTGTTGACAGATTCTCTGTATCCACTGAAGGCTGAAGCTGACATACCTAGGGAAGGGTATTTCATCCCATTTTACATTGATGTTGAACACCGAGATAATGCCCAAGACAGCCTTGGTAAAGTTTGCATGAGAACAAAGCAAAAATCCATCACTAAAGGAGAAACAGCTGTGGGACTTGAATTTTGGGTGAGAGAATATGTTAAATCATGAAGAGAGAAATTTGATACCAAAAAAACCCAATGAGATATATGCAAGAAAATCAAAATAGTGTGGATATAGCTAAATTAATTCTTTTTACACTGAATGCAGAGGCTGACTGTGCCCCAGTGCTCTCTTAAGGAACCTGCCTAGCACAACTGATTTTTCACTGAGTGACAAAACCTTCCTAAGTAATATTCTGAAAAAGTTGCTAATCAAAACCTTATTTATTTTTGAAGTATAAAATAGTTACAATTTTTGGGGAAAACCTCATAAACTGCCACCGTAAAACTCAGAGTGACGCTAGAGATTATTCTTTACAGAGTGGAGAAAAAACCATAGAAATACAAAGAACTCTAATTCTGTTATTAAGAAGCCAGTAATAAAAGTCAGACTGTAAATAGGAGTAGTACTCTAACAGTTACTTACAAAATTGAATTACGTTAATATATTATCATAATCCACATTTCTTACCATTCACTCTAGTGTTAATGAAATGAAACAGCACTGATTGTTAGATTGCCATACATGGCAGAGTAGCAACAATAAACTTGGCTACCTTGTGAATCACAAACATTCTGGAGAGAGCAGCTGTGCTTATATGCACAGTATAAGATGCAAAGTGTTCTAAATATAGACTTAATTTTATTTGCTCTAAGTTGTCAAATTGCAAAGCACTGCTCAAAAGGAGTATATCTGAGTGGTCATAAAATGGTCCAGAGAAACATCCATTCTCTGCCCTCTTCTTACAGCTTGTGAACAGGCAGTGGAGATTCTCAAAATTCTCTCTAGAATTTATTTGTTTAATGCTGCTCCTTACAAATCACATTTGAAGGCTGTCCTGGGTGAAATGCAGGGCAGTGACTGAATAAGACACTTAGGATGTGGTTTCTCAGAGATTTTACAAGAAAATTCTCTGAATGCCAGTAGAGTATGGCCATCCTGCTGTCAGTAAATATGTTACAGCTGAAACAGTGGTCATCTCAAAGACTCAGAAAAACTTTGGTGTTGAGCACCAGAGGAGACTGAAAAAAACATTTCAGCATGAAATAAACTAGTATTAGGGCTTATCAATCCTTTCCATTTTTCAGTAGGCATGGACTGCAATCGCTATGGTGACTGCAAAGCAGCACAAAATCATAAGTAAGGTGCCAATCGTTTGTATGCTGAGTAAATGTTTAACATTGTTAGATCCTCACCTGCACTTCAGCTGCTGTAAAGCTGGAATGAGCTGTCATCAGCACTGAAATGCTTTTGAGTTTGCCACAGTGAAGGTGTGGTTGAAGACACATTTTCAGTTGCTTAGGAATTCCTGAAACTTTTATTCATTTGGCTTTAACTTCTCACATAATTTCTTGAAATAACCTGTCATCTGAAAGTTTTCAGGGATTATATGATACAAAATTAAAAAAAAAAAAACTTTTTATAAAATACTTGTCTTTTTAGGTGAATCAAGATAAAGTGCATTTGAAAAGCTGTATAAGAAATCCAAAATTAAAAAGAGGTAAACAAATGCACTAGATCTTCTAGATATTAATAAGATTGCTATAAAAAAGTAAGATATAAATGCCAGGATTGTCATAATTTGCACTGCAGCAGCTTGAGCTTTAGCTGAGACATACTGACTTTTTAATATTTTCATGCCCCATTAAAAGAAAATTGGATGTTTTGGAACTACCAACTGTATAAAATAATCCCTTAGTCACAGTTGTTGTAAATCCTCTGTCCATCCTCCCAGTGCTTTTCATTTACTGTGCATTTCCTTCAGGTTTTATATTTAATTCCATTTTAGATTACAGCTCAGTAATCTTAAGTAAGCTTAAAAGAAGCCAGACATTAAGGTGCTGGACCATGTCCAGAGTCATACAATGAAGCTGAAGAAGGATCTGGAGCACAAGTTTGACACAAGGCACAGCTGAGGGAGCTGCATATCTTTAATCTGGAAAAAAGGAGGCTGAGGGGGACCTTATCACTCCCTACAACCACTTGAGAGGAGATTGTAGCCAAGTGGGCATCGACCTCTTCTCCCATGTAGCAGGCGATAGAACAAGGAGAAAAGGCCTCAGGTTGCACCATGGGAGGTTTATATTGGATATTAGGAAAAATTGCTTCAGTGAAAGGGTTGTCAAGCACTAGAACAGACTGCCCAGGGAAGTGGTGGAGTCACCACCCCTGGAGGTATTTAAAAGCTGCGTTGATCTGGCACTTAGGGACGTGGTTTAGTGGTCGAGTTAGCAGTGCCAAAGCTAATGGTTGAACTTAATGACAGGTCATTTCCAACCTTAAGATTCTATGATTCTTTTGTATTTAGCATTTTTTGTAATATATTTGTCCCACGATTCAATTTAATGTGGAGCTGTGGTGCAATAAGGCAATGCAAGGGATAATTAAAAGAAAAAATAGTAAGAAAACAAGAGGTTTTTTCGTCCCAAACCAATGTCTGTGACTGTGTTGTTGAAAGAATATGCTGTGGTGTCTACGTTGTGTGTTGGAGAACAACTAAGCTCCTCGTCAAAGAATTTTAAATTATTCATGGATACAACAAAAATTTATGGTATGAAGTAAGGAAGAAACTATGGAAAATAGTGAAAGAATAAATGGACTTTATTCCAGAGAAATTTTACTAAGAGCTGGATTATTCCATTTAGTATGTCAGCTCATCAGATTTGAGACTGTACAGATAGTTTCTACTTTCAATCAACACAGTGAAACCACGGGGTGTGTGACCTTTTAAAATCCATACAAGAGAAATTTATTTTGGTGATAGGTTTTATAAGACTTTTTAGAATAAAAGGGTGAAATAATAAGTCTGATGAACTGTACAGTAGGAAAATAATTAAAAGCCATAAAAAAGGGAAAGATAAGCAGAAGGATAATGGGAGAATCAGGATTGTAACAAAATGTTACTACTACTCATATTATGGTTGTTCTCCTTTCCTTTAGCACCAGGTATATTTACCTTTTGAATTCTTGGTCAATTCTCTACATTGAAAAAATACATTATCTTGCTTGAAGTTTGACATGCATAGGTATTTTGTATTGGGATGGGTAGAAGATCATAAATTAAATTTATCTTGAGAGTTACAAAGTGTTTGCTTGTTTTTCAACATTTACTGTAACTTTGCATAACTGAAAATTGATTTATTTTAAAAAAGTCTATGAAAGATTGGGCTCAAATGTTAAGCATTATTTACACTGGAACATACTCTGATCCCTCAAGCTGGCTCTAGTAAATGCTTTTTAAGCAACCACAAGGGCTAAATGCAAAAAAAAGAGTAGAATTGCCTTTGTATTGCAGTGTCATTACTCAAGCAATTCCTGGGAGTGCTAACCAAAGGTAGTTGATAATATATTTTGATGTCTTTTACAATATGACTTGGGAATACATACATCAAACAGACGTGAATGTGCAGTCTAGTCCTTCAAAACCTACATTGTAAGGAAAGGAAGCTGCACATGGAATCCAGATCTCAGAGCTGCGTGTCTTTTTAGTGCATGATCTAGAGCTGGAAGACTTAAAAGGTAACTCTACAAGTCCACAGCCTAAGCATGTAACTGCCCAAAACTTGCCGGGAGAAAAATAGACAAACAAACAAACAGGTTTGCATTTCTACTCCCACACCTTTCTAAGTGAGTCAGGAGCATGCCAGATATTTTTCACTCAGTGAAGATCCGGAAGCACAAGAATCCTCACCTTGAGGATAGTGTCAGCAGTACTTCAGGAGTTGGGTTATTCTTTTCCTTCCAAAAGGCAAGTTACAGGAGGATGCACTTCTACCATTTCTTTGAAAGCTGTTTTATCAGGCAGGAGGAAATGCAAGACTTCTAAAGACAAATTTATATGCCAAGAGAGCAAAAGGCAACATCATGTTTTAACCTGATGGCAAAAATAACAGGGAGCCCTAGAATGTGAAGTGAACCTTTGAGCAAGAACAGGAACCTAGGGCATCCTGAGCTCAGTTGATTCTGTGCATTCTGTATGTGTCTGTTGGGTTCAATTTTAGTCCCTCAGAACTGGGAATTAGGCAAGTAGATGTTCAGGTCACGGCAATTCTGAGAAAAACACAAGCAGAATGGTGAGAAGTGAGGAGTCTTCCAAACCAAATGAAGAAGTGCCCATTAACTTTATAGATTTCTAGATTTAAGCTGGAGGGATGTTAAAGGTCACAGTTTGGACTCAAGTACTTACTGTGTAATTAAGTATTGTTCCAGGTGCAAGTTTCCCTGTGCCATTTTTGTGACCTTTAAGATGGGGAAATTCCACCATTCTGAATAACATCTAACAGCGAGAAGAGAGGTACCATTACCTACATGGAGGCTACATCTAAATTAATTGTCACATGTTAACTCACAAGAAGTTAGGCATGATACCTCTTTTTAACTGACTGAAATAAAACTCTTCTGGAAATTCGTATGTTGGAAGAGGCTGTTAGCTAATAAACTAAATAGATGGAACGTTCTAGTTATGAATAGTTTCAGTGTCATACTGAGGTTTTTAGGAGTGAAATGGTTCAAGTAACAAACTCAAACAGCTAGGGATTGGAAGTATCCTAGCTGTCTTTTTCAGGAGATGCTAACATGATTCCAGGAATTTCAGCCACGAAGTTTCAGCCTGAGTTCCTTATGGAAAGAATTCACTGAATGACAAATCAAACATAAATAAAGAGTTATGGTAATGCTTTCACCTGATATGTCTTGTGTTCTACAACAGGAGTTGCTTCTTCTCAGTCTATCCAGGTTGCTTGGATGTCTCAGCAAAATATTGGATTAAAAAGATTTTTTAAAATCTTTGAACAAAAAGTCTGCCACGTGTTAAGTTCTGTGAACTAAATAGGTCTGGCATAGGCATATCTTGATTCAACAAAATTCTTAATCCTCAGTGGCAAACATGTCAGTTACAGATTTAGAATATCAGCACTAAGCTAAATTAACAGGTGATTTTGTAGGAATTAAAAGTTGGACTAGCTCCATAGAGATAAGAATGCATAATTTGAATGTCCTGCTAATGATGGTGTAAAACTGCATATCAAGACAGCATAGCCTACAACGAACTGTTTGTAGTGTATGTCTAAGCTAGAATTAAAAAGAACAAAGGCAAATCTCAGTGTCTAAATTCAGGCTCTCTGTTACTCTACAGCAGAAGTTCCTCAGAGGGGAGCTCTGTTTTCTGTGCATGTTTGCACAAAGTTCTTAGCCCTGGGGGATCTCAGTCTCATTGACTGCCGTTCCTCAGTGATACTATAATGTAAAAAGACAAAATAGTATGGATGGGCAGCTGTAACTGTAGTAGGGAAAAGCAGAATTCAGTGTTGTTAAGGAATATGTCAGTTCCCAGTTGAGTTAAAACAGGAACAAAAGAAATGCAAAGGCAGGAAGGGAATTGTGTAAACTTTCAGAGAGCAGCTTTCTTATCTGTTGGGATCTATATTTTATGGGAGTAGATACATTAACGTTAGTCAAGAATGTGAAGCAGCAAATTAAAGCCAGGCAGGAAAGAAAGAGTTATTACAGTAACTTTGCAAGGCACTGAATAGTACCTTAGTTCTAAATAATGCTTCATAAAACATAATCTGACATATATTATCAATGCCTGATCTTTTTTATATGCATAATAAGACGTTACTTCTATATTTTCATGGAATTATTTGCTATTTTTTGCATTAAAAACCTATTCTATAGCTCAGAGACTAACAGGAGTACATAAACTAGGCATAGTTTGTCTTTCAATGAAGTCTCTTGTCTGAGGATGCAATTGGGAATAATGTCCCTATTCCATTAAGAACAGTCTGCTTCAGTGCCAGCAGTGAAAACTCTTCTTCATTCCAAATCCTCTACAAATGCCCTGCTATTGCTTGTCTTAAAAAAAAAAAAAAAAAAAAAAAAAAAAAAAAAAAAAAAAAAAAAAAAAAAAAAAAAAAAAAAAAAAAAAAAAAAAAAAAAAAAAAAAAAAAAAAAAAAAAAAAAAAAAAAAAAAAAAAAAAGGAAAAATTATAAAAAGAGAGTGAGAGGGAAATAAAAGATGAGAAATTAGAAATAAATACAGAAACAGTTCAAGGAAAACAAGGGAAAAAGTAGAAAAAAAAATCAAAGGCAAACAGAGAAGTAGAAGTTGGATAAAAAGAGAATAATCTTCTGGATGTGTTTTCAAAAGAAGAAAATTACCTCCTAATTGGGGAAGAAGGGCAGCTGAGCCAAACAACTGGAGAAGAAGGGGAAAAGTGTGTGAGTCTAACATTGGAACAAAGAACAGTGAAGGGCAGATTTCAGTGATTTCTTTAAAAACGTCTTAATAGCACTCAGATGCTGTTATATCCTCAAATTTGGTGTAAGAAGTGTCCAGTTTAGGCAGTACCTGGTAAAACAGTGATTTCACTAGTTTCCTAGGTACATCTGTTACAGCTGTTCTCACAGCTTCAGACTCCCAATTCCAATTGTATGCCCTCTGTCCACAAAATCCAAGGAGGAACTGCTGTGTCTGCAAGTAAAGGCAAGTGAAGCTATAAAGGTGTCTCAGGTATTCAGGCTCCTCCACAGTTAGGCAGAGGGTTTGAGTGTCTTAGTTTTGAGCTGTGAGCTAAGTGTGTCTGTGTCAATGTTAATCTAGCTCTAAAGGCCTGTAAAATACTTTTACTATAAAACACCTCTGGATCTTTGCAGATTGTCATGGAATAGTGATGTTAGAATTCTGGTGTGGGTTTTTTTGGAAGGCAGTATCTGTCACAGGGCAAAATAAGTCTTCAGGGTCAGGTTCCAAGGGGCAGGTGTTCCTGGTGGGCTATGACTGCAGTCACATTCTGACTGTGGATCTGTATCTCCTCAGCAGAGCTGTGAGCACCACAGCCCTCCTGTGACCCCTGCGCAGAGGTGACAAACTGACACCTTCTGATGCAGTCAACAACTCTTGTTGTTTTGTTTTTTGTTTTGTTTTGTTTCGTTTTTTTTCTTTTTTTCTTTTTTTTTTTACAGGTCCCAGATCTTTTCTGTATCCAAGTCATGGCTAGGATACCGAGTTCTTCTATGGTACTCACCTTACAGTATCTCTCAGGCAAAGGAGAATTAGCTGCTTATGTCCAAATTAAACCCATATTCCACTTCAACATAGACATCTAATGGAGCAACTTGGATCTCATTAACTTGGAGTTCACTAAGGTCTGTGCTGCAGTTG